CCTCCATCCACGATAGAAAAACTCCATGTCGGGCAGCGAGCCTCGCGAAGGGGCGAACTCGAATCAAGTCATAACTCTTTCATCATGAGCAACGACTTGGGGGCTCTTGTTCTGGACTGGGCCTGCCCTTGGCCCAACTCACAGTGAGGCCCAATCCAAGCGTGCCAACCTGCACCGCTGACCGATATTATCCTCGAGCACACCCCGACCATAAAGGCCTTGTCGACCAAGGTTGTTTCCCTTTTGTGCTCGCGGGGACCATCCCTGACGAGCAAACGCTCTTCCCGAGCATCTTCTTCGTAGGACTGACTACTAACTTTTCTGGATATTGCGGAGTCTTCGTGGTCCCGGAAAAATCGCGTTCATATCCTCCTGACCTTGCGGAGGACGTCATCCAGGTAGGGGGCCGCGTGCGGGTCCCCACTACTCACGTAGAACCTGACAGACTCTATGTTGGACCTCTTCGATCAGTCCAGTAAAGAGACTTTGATCCAGCGCTGAGGGCTATAAATACCCTCTCTTTCGAGAGGGTCAGATATTTAACATTTTTCTCTGAACTCATACTTGCTTGCTCATTCCGCAACTTACTTTTCCATGGAATTTTTTGCAGGTACCCCATCTCATTTAACTTCTACCCGAACTAACTGTGACGGTCCATTTTTAATTCGATAAGATCACTTAGCAAGATCAAATACTAAAATGAAAGAGAGAAAAATGGCAAAAAAATACAAACCATAAATTTGTGCTAAATTTTATCTCAAATTTCTCTCATATATAACACCGTTCCTACCTAGCAAATATTCAATTTACAGATCTCTTTAAATTGTTTCTACATGTAAAAAAAGAGAAAACATCAAAACAGTTGGAAATAGAGAAACAAAGAGGATTAAGTGAAGATGAATGAGCAAGAGTTGTTAAATGTTCTTATACATTGAAAGTAATCTCTCTCTATCTCTCTTACACACACACATCATTAAACACTCTTTGCTATTCAAATTAGATAATTTCTTCATCCGATCAAAGTTTCTTCAACTCATTTTAAAAATATGAATACAGAAGAAGAAAGTTTATATCAATAAAGTGAATAGTTGATGGAAGAAAGCCATAAGAAGAGGTTGGAGAAATAAGAGTACACAATGAATGGAAGAAAATAAATAATGATAAAGTTGGGTTCACATTTAGGGAAAAGGTTGTGACATGGAATCATTGATGGAAGAGATTGAGATTGATTTGATTGCCATTTTCTTTGAGGAAGTATTATGTTTTGTAACTAAATATTACTTTATAAAAAAATGATATTGAAGCGTTGAGTAGAAGACTAATATTCAACTTCATAATTTAATTAAAATGACATTACTCATTTAATTGACAAAATGAAAACGTGGTCACAATTTACCCCTCAAAACAACATGTGTCAACAAAGCAGATTAGGACAACATGTGTCAACAAAGCAAATTAGGACAATGAGAGGAAAGGGTACTTGGCTTCTTTTTTTACACCACATGTGTGTTATTGCAGAGCCTACTTGTGAATAGAAGTTTAAAAGGATTAATTTAAACTTCTGTGCAGGATTTGAAAAATGGGTTGCATTCTAAACCCTAAACCCTAAATACTGCTTTCATTTCTTAATCTTTTTCTCTGTTTAGTGACATTTAATTTGCTGTTGAACATGTGAGAGAACTTCAACTTGAATCAGTAGGCAAAAATGCTATACTCAATACTATGAGATTAAAAATTGATGGTCAGTTTTACTCATCTCTAATATGATGAATTGTAAATGAGCGATTCAAATGATGTTGGACATTCTCTAAAAACTGTTATTGATTTTTTCTTACATTACTTTTCTCTTTAGATGCTTCTGAAGAGAAGTATGATGCATCTGCAGAAGCTAATGAAGCTGATGGGTTTAGAGATTTAGTTCAGCATAACACGTTTTGTTTTAAATTGTTGCTAAATACCATTACTTTGTATATTACACAATAATACATTTTAAAACTAACATCAAGAAGGTAATGTTTCCTCCAAAAAATTTGAGGGGAAAATAAGTTAGAGTGGTTGAACCAGTTTGCTTCTTAACATTGCCTCTAGGGACTGCTGCTAGACTCATATCTAAAAGAGTCAAATACTGAACCAGCTCAATTTTGCAGCATTAGCTCAATGGAGAAAAACTTCTAAAGAAATGTTACTCAAGCCAAGAAGCTCAATGGATGCCTTATTGTCGGAAGCTCAAGAGAAAAACTTCTAAAGAAATTATTGTACTAATTATAGATGACTATACTGATATATGAAGCTATGAACTCACTGATATGCTTTTTTACTGATATGTTTTTTTCTCGTTTATAAATATTTTTATATCTGTTACTTGTATGCATTTTTACTGATATCTCTATTATTGATATAAATATTTTTATAAACGAGTAACGGATAAGTACTTGTACGAATGCACATGCTATTATATTTTTTTGTACAATTTAGAAACGTATACGTGTAATAGATAAGTACTCGTAGAAACGCACGAATGTCCAAATCAGAATTTTCGCGAATCCACGAATTATAACATTTTTTATACAAATCTCTAATACCGAGTAACGAATTTCTTATATTACACGCCGCGATATTTTATTTGTCTGTTCTGAAATTTGTTTTACAATCTATTGACATTCACGTAATTACATATATATATATATATATATATATATAGATTAATAAAATGATTTAGATGTGTTAGTATCTATGTTTATAACTTGTCATTTTAAACTAATTCAATGAACTGTTTTTTAATATGGTTTTCTATGAAAATTCTAAAAAAACATATTGTTTGTCAAATACATACACACAAATTTTAGCACAAATAGAAATGCAACTTTGGAACTCTCTTTAATGAAACTCTGAACCATTTTAGCTAAGAAAACTCTGAACCATCTTATCATCATCAATAGAAGTGGTGGAGAAAGAGGGATAATCAAGTAGAAGATTGGAGAAATAATGGCTTAGAGTTTGAAGAGAAACAAAATCATATATTTATGGTATTGTTGGAAAATACCGAAAGTTGAAAAGATTTGTGTTTCTCTATGTTGGCAGTTGTAATGTTTATGGCTGCACATCAATTGTTTTGCATTGGAATTGTAAGTATTATGTAGGATTATATAATAGAGGGATAACTATAGGCATCGTTTCAACTGGTACAGAGTATTGTAATGTAGGTTGCAAAAAATAAAATAATATAAAATGCCAATAAAAATATGGATGTGCCAAATCAACTGCGTTTAATATCAAATCAATTTAAAGAGATTTAGTGGTTGATAAGACGATTTTATCCTTAAAATTAGTTAAATTAAAATTTTTAATCAAAAGGATTATAGTGTAATAAATCAGTACTTTAAAATTTATATATTTATAATAGATATATAAAGATGTAAGAATTAATACAGATAAAATGATTAAGAAAAAAAATATATTTTTATAACATTTAACAAAAAAAATGTGATTATTACCGTTTTATTTGATAATAATATTATTATTTAAAAAGTGATAGAAAGAATTGTATTACTTACTTCTTTATTAATTATGCGTGAAGCTGCAACAATAGATTTTAATTTAAATGTAATTAAGTCTCATATATTTTATTATATTATCATGACAAAATTAAGATAAATTGTTTAAAAAAAACACCAGAGAAATGGAGAAAACGAAACAACATATTTGTTAGTTGACAAATTTTTACATCAAATAACAATTCTTCTAAAATGAGAGAATAAGAACAATGATCAAGTGTATTTAAAAAAAACACCTTATCTAAAAACATAATAATAATAATAATAATAATAATAATAATAATAATAATAATAATAATAATAATAATAATAATAATAATAATAATAATAATAATAATAATAATAATAATAATAATAATAATAATAATAATAATAAAATTGTATTGTCAAATCTGAAAAGTAATAAGTCAAAACAATGGATCAATATTTCAACACATTTTTCCTTCAATTCAAGAAAAAATAGAAGGGAATAGAATTAAGGATCTTAATATTTTTTAATCTCATATTATCAAAAAGAAAAATTAAACAAAAATAAAAAATAATCAAAATTAACCACTGCCATATATATGCCATATATATTATAGACATACGTCAAATTATTCTCATAATATAATTATTATATGCATACTCCTACAGTAAAAAATGTTCTACTAAAATTAAAAGTAGTCATCAATATATTTTATAATTACGAAAAAATCAATTAATATAATATATATTGCAATTCTCCTTAATTATGTTCTATTAAATTCTACTTAATTATTACCAATGAGAATTAAACACAATGGGCTCTTTAATTATTTGAATAATTTTCCTGACGTGTTTTAGCTAACACTCTACATATATATACTGGGGTAGAGTATTTGGTTTTAGTAATTTCTTTTGGGCTTAAAAAAATAATTTAGCCTAAACCCAGTTAGTAATATAACTTAACCCTAAATTTACTAATAAATTCAATAAATGCCTCTCCTCCTTCATTTAACATGTTTCGCAGTTACAAAGAAAGAAACAATCTTTTATTTACCTTTTTAAGTCTTCTACTTTTATTTACCTTTTCATCTTCATTATGTAGTTGTATTCAATCTTCTGCTTTTGTTTTCTACTCATTTTCATGGAAACAATCGGATATCAAGAAATTTCAATTACTTTAATTAGATTTTAAAAAACGGTTCAGTCGGAGTAATCAACAGAACCATCGGTTATGTCCGATTTAGCCGGTTTATCACCAGTTTTCTGACCTTTTTTCTGGTTTTTTGACAGCCCGATTTATACATAGTTTAGGATCGGAAACAGGTTCGGTTCACGGTTCAATTGATTGAACCGGTCAGTTCAGTCTGACTTTTTTAATACTAACAACAACTATCACATACTGTTTACATAAATAAAACACAAATAAATGAAAGGATAAATATGAACAACGACCAATTTTTTTTGCAAAATATCCGGGAATCATATGAACAACATCTGGGGGAGGGTTTTCATATATGCAATTAAGAAAATCAAGAGAAAACTGATTGGATAGCCTTCCACCACCATTTCGTGCAACACCACCATACCGACGACGGGCTCCCCACCACTCCCTTCTGATTTGCGACAGCGACAGAGAATATACATGCCATAGATTGTTCTCAAAGCTGAAACAATAACCGGGAAAACCTTTCGTTAACCAAAGCAGGAACAATATCAAACAAAGAAGTATCATATAATCAAAGCAAGTAAAGCCCATGAGAACGTCAACGGAGAAGAAATAGGTGGTACGAGTAACACGAAAAAATGAAAGATGTAAACACATATTTGGAAAGAAGATAAAAGATGGACGCATGAAGATATTGTCTGCAATTGAAAACATGGTGTGTGATGGATACATGGAGAGCTTTTTATCATGCAAATCTCTGTTATGATTACCAACATGAAAAATTGTGAAACTTTCCATTGTCCAATAGACCTAAATTGAATGTGAATGATGTTTCCCATGTAATATTGAATTGTAAAAAGACATTAAAAAAAATAAAAAATAAAATGAAAATTTATTGGAGTGGCACGTCAGACATATTTATTGTCAAACGAATATAATTAAGCAATGCTGTAATTAGACAATTTTAATCCTAGAATTAGAAAAATTATAACTTAAAGTCAGAAGGGCATATATTGAATTTCCAAGTACTTTAAAGTTTATATATTAATAATAGATGAATCCAAACACGAAAAAATATATTATTTTTTAACTATTTATGTTACTAATATTATTATTTTGATTTTTGTTTAAATTTAAGATACACTATTTTTTAAGATAAAATAATTTTATTTTTCTTTTAAAAATAATTAAAAAAATTGGTAAATCAATTTTCTTCTTATTTACATTTTTATTACATTTTAAAAATAAAAGCCCGCACACTACACCAATACTCGTGCAAACACACGGGTAATATACCAGTACTGTGTGAATGCACGAGTAACTATATCAGAATTTGTGCGAACTCACGAGTTTTTTTTAAAGTTAAAGAAAATAAAAGTAAATATATTTAAATAATGTATCAATCCAAACACAAAAAATATGTTATTTTTTAATTATTTATGTTACTAATATTTTTGTTTTGATTTTTTTTAATTTAAGATAATATGTGAAAATTTGAAATATATATTATTGATGTAAAACAATTTTGGTAAAACAATTTTGTTTTTATTTTAAAAATATGATTTTTTTATAAAAATAAAAAATAAAAAATTTTGGTAAAACAATTTTGTTTTTCTTATTAACAATTTTATTATATTTTGAAAACAAAAGTGTGTCCTGTATCCGTGCGAACGCATGAATATTCCACTAGTTCTCTAATGAAAGTCCTAGCAATATGCTTCTAGTAAAATTGTTGAAGTTTTGAATCAAGAATCACATTTAAGAATGATTCAAGTCATGTCAAGTTTGAATTCTAAAAAACACTTCATATTTTGCAAAAAAAATGTTTCTCGAAGTGTGATTTGAATCAAAAGCTTAAATGATTCGAATCATAGATATAGTGAAGTCAGGAATTGCTTATGTAAAATCATAATTCAAATCACATATATCCTGACTTGAATCAAACACATTGAAGTCAGGAATTGCTTATGTAAAATCATAATTCAAATCACATATATCCTGACTTGAATCAAACACATTTATGAAAAGCAAGATTTGCTTCTATTTGTGTGATTTGAATTCAACAACCCATTATTCGAATAAGAGACATTTGATTTGAATCACATGGTGCTTGACTCGAATCAAACACGGATAGCCATTTTTGGGTTTTGGTTTCGTGAATATGATTTGAATCACGAATTTCCTTGACTCGAATCACATAAAATTTGATTAGAATCATGAGAACAGTTTTTCTTCACTACTAAAAAAATGACATTTGAGAAAAGGTGTTTACATCAGGTATAAAAATATATGATGTAAAAAATAAAATTAAAAAGATTTTACATCAGGTATTTATTTGCAATAATATAAAAAATATTAAAAAAATATTTTTCGTTGGCTATTACATTGGTCCAATTAATCCACCGATGTAAAAGGTTTTGTAAAAAAAACACGGTGGCAGTTTTGTAAATAAAAAACTAGGTGGCATATTGGTAAATAAAAAACACGCAAAACCTTACATCGGGCCTTGCGAACCACCGATGTAAAAAATCAGAAAACCCTTACATCGGGCCTTGCGTTCTACCGATGTAAAAACCTCAAAATGTAACCATTACATCGGTTATTGATTAGCACTGATGTAAAAACATTATTCTAAAATAACCATTACATCGGTTATTGATTTCCACCGATGTAAAAACTATAATATATATTTAAGAAATAAACCCTCACTATTATACATTTAGTTATTTTCTCCTCAAAACCCTCCGCTCCGCCTACGAACGCCCTCTGCCCTCCGCTCCGCCTACACAGTCCGTCCGCCCGTCTCCGCCCTCCGCTCCACATACACCGTCCGTCCGTCTCCGCCTACGAACGCCCTCCGTTCGTCTCCGCCTACGAACGTCCGTCACAGGCCGCTGTTTCCCGCCATGCACGAAGATGGCCTCGAATCTCCAGCCATCACAGCCTACCGCCGTCTTCGAAACCCCCTCCACCGTCCAACTACGATTCCGGTAAGAAATTTTCTATTTTGTTCAACTTCTTTGTATATCTATGGATTTCTAAGAGGTATATATACAAAAATGTTTTAAAGATATTCTTGTTGCTTTGCTTGCTACTGAGATACATTATAAAAAATTAGAAGTACATATAAAAACAATTAGAAGATTATACTAGATACTAACTCAGTGGCTTGGTGAATCCATTCCTTTGTTCATATCTGTTTTTTAATTACTAAACAGTTTATTATTCTTATAGAGGTTAATTAAGTCTAATTAGTTATAAATAGTATATATTTTGTATAAAGTTAAGAATATAGTACATGTTGTGTATATGTCATTCTTTTTCATTAGAGAAATTGTCTCCTTAGAAACCTCCGAAAGAAACGTTAATGGTCCTCTCAGAAACACACAATATATCTTTAACTTATCAAAATTAATAGAGTTATCACCTTTCCATTGAAATTTGATTCTATTTTTCTTTCTCCGCGAAGCAGCGCAACTTGCGATCTCAGAATCTTCGTGAAGTAGCGCAGCCGCGGGCACACCCTTCGTCAGACCTTCCTCTGTGTGAACATAGTTATGGATCGTAGTTGGATGAAAGGTAATCGATTAAGTGACGAGTACGAACATGGAGTGATGGAATTTCTACAGTTTGATGAAAGTAATGCTGAAAAAAGTCTTCCTGCACTTTTTCTCTGTCCATGTGTTCGTTGTGCAAATAAAGAACCAGAACATAGTAAGAAAGAAATCATAGATCATTAATTTGTGTAGGGATTTGTCAAAGTTATACATAATGGATATGACACGGTGAAGTAGTAGAAAAGTCCTTTCTCAACAAATGTGACTACATTCATTGAAGAAAATGAAGGGGATGATGTGCATGCTATTCGCATAGACCATGAAGAAGGGATATGGGAGGACTAGTAAGATTTTTTTTTATAATTTAATTTCACGTTACTTTATTTTCTAATTGTTTTTATTTTTTGCTTAATTTTATTTCTAATTGTTTTTATTTTGTGCTTAATTTTATTTCTAATTATTTTTATTTTGTGTAAACAGATACATGGGTGATTCAAACGACAACCCTTCTTCATCTAGTAACCCCAATAAAAGAAGAGTTAGAGGTCCCACTTTCATGACACAAATTGACAAAGTTCATCAAACAGGTGAAAAGATAAAGGTCGAGTTTAATCCAAGAACCTATGAATGTATTGGTGTTGGTAAAAATGCTACAATTTTAAGAGTTATATAGCATGTCTTGCTCGGCAGTACTGTAGTATTGTGAAAAATGATTGGAAAGAAGTATATGAAGGCGCAAAATATGTTATTTGGACTGATATTCAGGTATTTTAAATACAACACTTTATTATATTTTATAATCATATACTAATTAACAACATATGACATATACTATATTTGTAGGCTCATTTCACTATTCCAGAATGTAAAGATCCAAAGAAGGATAGGTTGAAGAAAGAATGGATTAAATATGCGGGAGAGTGATAGAGAGATTTTAAGACACAACTCACAGACAAATATATTAATCATCCAATAGAAAATGATCCTCCTCCATATGTCAAGTATAACTTTATTACAGAAGACGCATGGAAAGAGTTTCTCAAGATTCGAGATACCCCTGAATTTAAAGTTAGTAGGAGTTATATGTTTTTGTGTGCATAATATTTTTATTATATTTAGTGATTAATAACTTTTTGAGTTAATAATAGGAAAAAAGTCAAAAGGGTAAGGATAATGTGGCTAAGAATGTATACCCACACTTATTGTCTCGTGGAGGGTATCGCTTGCTCGAGGAGAAAATTATGAAAGAAAAATCATCATCAAGAGATGATTCCACATTAGATGATAATGGTAGTCCATCTCCACCATCACACAATGAGTTATGAAAGAGAGCACGTCAAAAGAAAGGAAGAGAATACACATCAAAATCTACACAAGAGGTTGCTGAAAAAAATTGTAAGTAAACAATGAAAAATACTTCAAGTATCATTATATTTGTGATTGCTTAATTGTGGTTTTTGTATTTTGTAGGATTCTCTAGCTCAAGTAGCTGAAAAAAGTGTAATTGTTCCGGTTGGACGTAACGATATCTTAACATTAGCCATTGGAACATCTGAGCGTGGAGGTCGTGTTCGTGGTGTTGGAAAATTCCATAAACAAAGCACTTACTTTGGAAGGTCACGTCAACATATTGACGTAAATGAACAACTTGCAACATTGGAAATAAAACATAGAGCTGAACTTGAAGAAAAGTTGATTGAATAGCGTAAGATGTTTCAACAATCATTAATGGAGACACTTAAGTCTATGGGTTTATCACAAAGCACAGATAATATTAAATGCATTGAAAAAATGGAAATTGTCGATGGAAGCGGAAAAGGAAGTTGTTCAGCTGCAAAAGGAAGCATAAAAGGAAGCACAAAAGACGTGAAAGTTGATGATGTTCAGAGATTGTTACTCATGGTTTTGAAAATGGATGACAACCATTTGAAAATACAATTAAGTCACTGTGCGAGTGTCTCTAATTTTTATATTTCAGCTAAGTGTATCAGAGAGTTATTGGTGGATTTAGGTCATTGGCTTGACGTGTCTATTCTGCAAATTTGGTGCACGTAAGTGCATTTTATTGTTTTATTAAAGTCAATCTCTATTAATATGTTATATCTCTCATCACTTTGATTTTAATGTTTATTTTAAAATTATTCAAGTATATTCATCATGTATGTCTTGAGAATTCTATTTCAGAATTATATGGATTTATGGACCCTGCTAGGTGTATT